TTTGACATCGATTCTTTTGCTGAATTCTGAAACCCTCCGGTTGCGATTTCGATCTCCGATGTCAATCCCGCCGTCTTCAGGTCCTTCTCCATCATCTTCAACGTCTCAGTTCACTTACGCAGCGAATTCTTCCTATTACGCGCCTTACCAACCTCCACAGCCTTACGCAGCACCGTCTCCTGCTCCAGCGCCGCCGGTAGTACCTATTCCCGGAGCCACTGTCTATCCGCAGCCTGTTGGTCCGGTTCCTGCCGTCTACGCTTATCCTCAGTACCAGCAGGTTAGTGGGTTTGATAAATCCGGAGTATTGATTCATAGTGATTTGCGTATTTGAGATTCAGGGTTCGAATTAGGGTTTCCGAAATCCCCTCTGCTTTTAAATTTAGGGTTTTTTGTTTTGTTTTGTGTTGTTGATATAGCTGTTTCCTTTATCACTGAATGATGAATGTCACCGAAGCTTGGCTCTTGATGAATTCTACCAGTTACGTATCTCACATGTTTTATAGTTAAAGCTTTGCTCTTTGGATTTGTAATGCTTAAGGTAGCATTTTTGGTTGTCTTTGTTGGCAGGCACATCAATTGTTCCAGAGAGATGCACAGACCATCACACCAGAAGCCCTTGAGAATGTGAAAGCTGCATTGGCAAGTAGCGAAACCGAACACAAAGCGGAAACTAAAAAGAGAGCCATTCCTCGTAAAGCTGCTGGACAGTCTTGGGAGGATCCTACTCTTTCAGAGTGGCCAGAAAGTAAGCACTGCCTTTCTTCTACTTCTTTACCTTGAGTTTGCTGATTGTTACTCTAGTTTACAGATCGTATCATTAGTTGTTCAGAGATAAGCTTTTGGATGTTCTTTGCTCTTTTGTTAAAATGGACTTCTTACAAGTTTCTGTTCCACATTTGCCAGATGACTTTCGCCTGTTCTGTGGTGATCTTGGGAATGAGGTGAATGATGATGTTCTTTCCAAGGCATTCGCTCGTTTCCCCACCTTCAATATGGCCAAGGTCAGTGTGTATATCTCTCCTCCTTTCGGGTTTTGTGATGATTCATACATGGTTTCCTATGAACATTTGTCTGCACAATTAGCTGTGTGACTGTAGTATTTTTTTTCCTTTTGCTTAGATTGTGAAAAGTTTCCTTGGTGGGGTATTTACAGAACATGGTTGACCTTAGATCCTATGGATCACTCCATACCTGAATCAGAAAGATAAGTAATCTATGTAATGGTCAAAGCTTCTACAGACAATTAGAAAAAGAAAATTATGATTTTGTTGGAGTTTCTTTTTCTTACCATTTTTGATAAGTTGATACTCTGGGATAATTCAGCAAGGGGGAAATTTGTAATCAGGAAACACAGCTGTTGTTGTTGTTGTCATTCTTAGAAAACACTTCTAGATTTTTCGCCTTATTCTTTTAAATTTTCCATTGCTTCTCTGTTTCTTGCTCTTCCATGTGGTGTCTTTCTTGGCTAATTCCGTGAGATTTGGTACTGAAGAAATCTTATGTTACCACGACAGGTCATCAGAGATAAGCGGACTGGTAAAACTAAAGGTTATGGGTTTGTGAGTTTCTCAAATCCTGCTGATCTAGCGGCGGCCCTAAAAGAAATGAATGGTAAGAATCTGATTTTAGTATTCTGTTTCAGAACTTGTTATTTGATTCTGTTCATAGTCCATTGATTTTCATATGAATACACACACAGGTAAGTATGTTGGAAACCGTCCGATTAAACTAAGAAAGAGCAGCTGGAAAGAGAGAACTGACCAGGAGGCTGCGGAAAGACAAAAGGCAAGTGTCCAGATTCCATTCTTTTTTGTGATAGATTTGAGAGTTTTGCATATAAATTTTTCTAACATTTGTCTTGACTGGTGAATGCAGCATCACAGCAATAAGAAACAGAAGACAGTGAAGAAGAGCATACTTCACAAGTGATTAAACAAGAAAGCAGCGGGAATGTTTGTATTTTCGACTTTTTTTTTCTTCGTTATTAACCAATGAAAGTAGAATTCACACAGCTTTTCAAAAAAAGAAAGAATTATATCTATTTCTTTTAATTATTCAAGACTACTACAATGTAAATTGATATTTGTACTAGTATTATTTTTACTTTTTGTTTTACGAGGATTGGTAGCTAAGAAAGGAAATAACTGAAAAAAGTCCCTACTTTTTTAGTAAAATGTCTAAGTGCTGATGCAAACGTATGACTGATGGTTGACAAAAAAAAAATAATGCAAACCATATTTTTGTATTTGATTACACAAATCTTTTTAGTATTTGAAGAGGAAACAGTGGTTAAGGTCGGTGGGGAACATGGCCGTCTAATTTCTTTATAGGGCCCTGAGGTAGAACCACTTGTCAGTCTTCTCCACGAAATAATGTTTAATTTGGATTTTGATTACAGACGTTTCATTTGGAAAAATGTTTAYAGATTTTTGTTTTGTTTTTCCCCCACACTACATATTCTAACAACTTTGCTGAGAAAATTTGTTAAAATTTGTCTTAAGTGGTAAATGCAGCATCAGAACAATAAGAAACAGAAAATAGTGAACAAGAACATACTCCACAAGTGAGTAAAGAAGACAAAGCTTTGATAAATTGAAAAGATATTTGTCGCTCAATTATGGATGCATTGCAATACAAAGGCGTACACGATAAAAGCAGATGGAATGCTTGTAGTGTCTGTTTTCTTACCTAATGAAATTAGTAATCCTATATATAACAGTTAACTTCCCCTCGCAAGGAAATGCCAACTCAGCTCCTTTCTCTTTGACACATCAGTTTTTAAAAAATCATATTAATATCCAATATTTAAATAAAAAACGACACTTCCATCTCAAAATTCTTGGTCAACAAAACCATTAAATTCCACATTTCCAACTTTAATTCTACGTTTAGTCTCTCTTTTGGTCGATTAACATTCAAATTCAATTCCTCTCTCTTTCCGAGAAGACGTCTTCCTATATCTTAGTACTAGATTTTGTCTTGCGCCCAATCGCGGGATTAAATAACTGAATAAATTGATTAATCGATTTTAACATATATAATTTTTTAATATTTAAATGTGTATAACAAATCATATGATTTTCTAATATTTGTAAACATACTTGATATGTATTGTGCATAAACGTAATAAAGTTGAATACTTTTGATCAAACCTTTGTTAATGCTATCAATTTTAATATTTTTATTTCTAAATTTATTAAAACATATGTAAATATTATTTATTTTAATATATTTTACATATAAATTGATCTTCATTAGTCGTGTAAAATATAAAACATATGAGAAGTATAATGAAGATTTATAATGAATTTGTCCGAATAACAGACAGTAAACAATATATGCTTTCCA